TCCGGCTTTTTCTGCTTATGTGGTGCTGAGGAATCAAACCCAGGGCCTCAGGCATGCAAGGCAAGCGCTCTACCACTGAGCCACCTTCCCAGCCCCTGTTTTGTATTCTCTATAGAGATGGGACAACAAGTGAGTCCACTCCCAGGACACCCCGAGACCTTGTCCTAGTTCGTTTAAAAACAAAAAAAAAAACAAAAACTGCTGGTTCTGCTTTTGGAACTTGCTTGTTTGTCAATTATGAAACTGCCACTGACCACCTGCAAGTGGCCCCAGTTAGATCTCAGCCTTGGGCCTTGGTTCAGGGGGTCTGAGCATGGGGGAGAACCTGTCAGTCTGAGGGGACGGCCGCTAGGGATTTTTTTTCCCTTGCCCCAAGATGACTGGGAATTCTCCTCCGCCTTGGAAGGCCCCTGGGTCAACATCTGCAGGAATCTAAAAGAAAAATCCTCCGGAGGTGAGTAGGGGGGTTGAGTCCCCTGGTAAGTGAATGGTGGTGAGATGTCGCCCCATTCACTGAGACCTGATTTTGTCTTTGTGGCCACTTGTTTGTCTTGTTTACTTTAGTGTGTGTGTTTGTTTTATGTTTTCTTGGGTAGGGAAGTTCTGGGTGAGTGTGGCAGGCTCACTCAGCAGACTCTGGATTCAGCTTGCTGAGTGGGAGCAGCACAGAGTTCCGGTAGGGATAAACTGGGGCCCATTAGTCCCCAACTCAGCCTTCAGTTCTTGTCTAGTTCTGTTTTAGAATTGGTACCAGTTTTAAATGTGGATCCTTGGTTTTTGTGTTTATCTGTGTTTTTGTTATTTATTTATTTGAACATCTCTGGGAAAATAAAAGTTCCAGCCTCCCACTGGGCTTGGTCACAGACCTGCTAAGACCCCCCCTCCCCTTGTGTTTCAGCAGCCAAGAGGCGGGGCATGGACAAGCCTCAGGCTGCACCTTCTCCCGGTGGAGGCTGCCGGAGGAGAGGCGAGGGTGCAGAAAGTTGTGAGCCTGGTCTGGACTTTCAGCTGCTCCAGGCAGCTTAACAATTTGTAAAGTGCTCTTGTCAAAATTGGGTAAAAATCAGGCCAGTTTCGTTTCAGGTGATCCCTCCCACCCCCAGCCTTCCTCTGACAGAAGGGGTTCAAAAGACTAATTAGTGAATTGCCTTGCTAAAAAAGCAAGCTCTGGGAAAATGGAGCCCAACAGCGGTACCTAGTTTAAAAGAAATACTGTCTTAAATTTTTGTTTAAAAACTTTAATGTACGTACAACTGATTTTGATTTTTGCGCACATTAAGATCTGTGTGAGTGTTTTGTGTGGGTTTGTGAACATGTTCAAAGATAAGAATTGTCAGCATGCTGTAACAGTTGGGTGAGTTTAAATTTAAAATTCAAAAGGTTATGAGGTTTGGACATTACCAAAAATTTTAAAAAATCTTCACTTTGTTTTAAATGGCTTTTTAAAGATTCTTTAACTTGCAAATTAGAAAATCTGGTATCTTAAAAACTAATATTTTAAAATGCATAAGACTGTTTATACTGTAGTAGAGTTACCTGGCTTAACAAAAATATATTGGCAGTTTGGGATTTAGTCCCCTTGGCTAAAATTTGGGGATAAATATTAGAAATTTAAATGTAAAGGTTAGTTTAACACTGTCAAAGATGTTACTTGTTCTGTCTGTCTAAAACTGTGTATTTCATTCGAGAACCAAGAGATAAGAAAAGGGAAAACTAGAAGCCAACAGAAGACCTATCTTTAGGGGTGAGGGGTGAACAGGCAGAAGTGCAGTTCAGCTGGTCATGCATGGTGGGACAGGCCCTGGGAGGAGTCCACGCATGGTGAAAGAGGCCAAGCTGGCACAAACGCAGTTCATCTAACCCTAAAGAGTCGGATTGGGTGTGTGCCCATTCCATAGAAGGGGCTGAGTGGCCCATCTTTGTTCTCTCTTTTCTCTGCAGATAGACACTGAAAACACGGTGGTCAAAATGAGTGATGTGATGATCTGATTAGTATTGCTAAAACTTCCCCTTAGATGTGTTAACATTAAAATTAGGAAGGCCTTAAAAAGAGGGTTAAAAAGTTATTTGTATAATGTGGCTTACTTTCAATTATGTTCTACAATTAGGATGTTTTTAAAAGTTATAAAGGTGTTAAGCCTAGCTTCGTGGTATAGTGATGGTGACTGTAATTCTTGCATTAAGGAAAAATTGTCATTTGAGTTTAAAAGTTTTAATGTGTAAAAACAAGCAGCCAAGAGACAATGAGTGACACTTGGCCTCAAGATTTTAAGAGGTTAAGGATACAGGTGGACCTGATGCAACAACGAGAAGTATAAGTTGTCATGTCCAAAACGAGCTTTACAA